CTGGCACGTCACAGAGTCAGAGCAGCCACCAGGCACAGGAGGACTCCATGCACGCTAAGAGCTCCTCTCGGGATCTTGAGCACACATGCACACGTGCCCAGCGTGAGTTTTAAGCCTCCGTGTCCAGGACGCGAACCACGGTCGACTACATGGGAGTCCAGCAACATAGCCATTATGCTAACTGCTGGTCCCCCTTAGAACTTCTTGAAGAGCTGGCCTGGAGTCGGTAAATTCTTTCAGGTTTTGTTAATCTGAGAATGTTTTTTATCTTTTCTTCCCATATGAAGAATAATCTTGCCAGGTATAGTAATCTTGGTTGAAATTGTTTTCAATTGAACACTTTGAATATATTTCCCTATTCTTTCCTTGCATGCATTGTTCCCAATGAGAGGTCCAATGTTAACCTGATGGGATAACCTTTATAAGTAACTTGATGTCTATTTCTTTCCAATTTTGGTATCTTGTCTTTGTCTGTGATTTTGGCCAATCTGGCTGTGATGTGACTTGGAGAAGACCTTGGGTTGATTCTATTTGGGGTCCTTTGTATTTCTTGGGTCTGAGAGATTTGAATGACTCTCTAAGCATAGAAAGTTTTCTTCCAGGATTTCATGGAATAAATGATCATTGTAATTATTTCCTTCATCTTTTAGGATACCAATTATCCAGATGTTTGGATGCTTAATGGTATCTAGTATTTCTTGTATATTGTCCTCATTTTTCTTGGTTATTTTCCCAGTCTTTCTGGTAGTTTTTTTCTAGGTCAGAGGTTTTATGTTTTATACTCTCCATCCAAGATTTTATTTTCTGCAAGATCTAATCGGCTTTGTTTTTAAAAGAATTACTTTATTTAACTTTATTTTTTTAATTTACTTTAATTTGACCAGAGAAGGAGAGAGAGAGAGCGAGAAAGTGAGAAAGTAATACACCAGGTCCATGACTCGAACCATAGTTGGCCATGTGGGAGTCCAGTGCCCTCAACCACCATGCCACTTGCCAGCCCCTAATTTGCTTTTAATACTTTTGAGGGAGTTGATTTCCTGTATTACAGTCTTCATCTCTAACAATTCCATTAGATTCTTTTTCATGGTGTCTATTTCTTCTTTCAACTCATAAAAGGACTTCCTCATGTCCTGGAGCTCATTGTCTCTTTTCTCTTGTATTTTCTGGAACTCATCTCTCTCCTCTTGCACCTCATTTACTTTTGTCACTATAAATATTCTGAATTGTTTATCTGACATTTCCACTATTCATACTACTGAGTTCCATAGTATTGTCGGTGGATGATGAGGAATTGATGTTTTCCCTTAGGAGAGAGATATTTTCTTAATTTCTCATATGTCTTGTGCTTTTATGATCCTAGTCATCAGGTGAATTATACATTTTTCCCTAAATTCTTCAAATTAATTCTGAGTCTTCAAAGGTGAGCAGGAGGAAGTGATCAGTGATCTCTTTCTGCTCTACCTCCCTGATGCTCACCCAGCAACCTGCACTGTTGACTCTGGACTTAGATAATTCAGAATCCTCCCAGTTTCTAGAGAATAAATTCACCTGGGGTTGAGCTGCTGAGCTTCAACTGAGGAAGACAGAAGGTGCCCCACAGTGTACAATGTGCACCACACACACTTCAAGAAATGCTAAAGTCTGAGAATTCAGAGGCCTGTGACAGGGGATGAGCCACAGTCTCTCTGCTGCTCAGTCTCCCTGCCTCTCAGTGTAGCTAGGCTGTCACTGGGACAGATGTCTTGAGGGAAAGGAGGGCTTCTCCAAGTTGCAATTAACACACCTAAGAGTTCAAAGGCATGTGAGGGGCAGGGATGAGCCAAGGTCTCTGCAGCACAACCTCCCAGCTGCAAAAGGCTCACCATGCAGCAAGGCCCATCACTGGGCAGATGTCAATCTTGGCACTCTTACTAAAAATCAGGAGACTGTGCTCCCTATTCTGTTCTGTTGTTCTCTATATAAGCCATCATGTCAGCATCACACTTTTTTCATTTTCATGGTTTTGTAGTAAGCTTCACAACTCTGGAAGTATGAGACCTTCAAATTTGTTCTTCCTTAAGATTGTTTTGGCTTTTTGGAACTCTCTTGAGATTTAAGATAAAAATGATTTTTTTTCTGTTTTTCCAAGAGAAGTCATTGAAATTTCTATACATACTGCTTTAAATCTATGTATCATTTAGGGTAGTAATGACAGCTTATGAATATTGGCTCTAACACGACCCAAAGAAACCCAGGATGTCTTTCTAATTTTTTATATCTTTAATTTCTTTCATCATTTGTATTTTTCAGTAGAAGTCTATCACCTTGTGATTTAAGTTTATTTCTAAGTAGTTTATTTTTTTTATGTTATTTTTAAATGGGATTTTTAAAAAATTTATGTTTCAGATTGTTTTTCAGTTACAGAAATGTAACTGATTTTCACATATTGAGTTTTTATGCCACAACATTATTAGATTCCAGGTTTCTACATATAAGATCAGGCCATTCGTGAATAGACAAAAACAAACAAACAAACAAACAAAAAATCTTACTTCTCCCTTTCTAATTTGTATGCCTTCAATGTCCTTTTCTTGACTAATTACTCTAGATAAAAGCAGTCATCCTTTTATTGTTCCTGATCTTGGAGGAAAAATTGTCACCATTTCACTATCGAGTATGATGTTGGCTACGGGTTTTCAAATATAGTCTTTATTATGTTGAGGTCTTTTTTTTTTTTTTTTCTATTTCTAGTTTGTTGATTGTTTTTATCATGAAAGTGTGGTGACATTTTTCATGTACTTGGTTATCCTACTTTCTGTATTTTCCCGATAACAAGGAAGATCAGTACTAAAAGCACTAAAAGTGGTTTCAACTATCTCTCTCAACCTTGATTATGCTAATTTTTATATCAATTTCTAGAACCTACTGCTATTAAAATTTGAATCCCTTTCATCCCACTTGCCCCCACAGGCTTCTCTCTGGGCTCCACAGTACAGTCTCACACCAAAGGAATTTGGATGTGGTGTGTGCCTCATCCTAAAAAGCCGGAACACACCCTAGTTCTGCTGGATACTGAAGGCCTGGGTGATGTAGAGAAGGTATGGACCAAGAATTTAAATTTGAAATAAGCCCTTCATCTTCATATATGCTCTCCATGATTTAGTTTTTCCTTAAATAAAAGCTTGCACTGAACTCTAATATGTCTTGTTCATTTCTGTTTATATGTCATGAGAACAAGTTTAGCCACCAGAGTTGAGAAAATGTTTATAAAATAGAATTTAGCAGAAGAGCATAGTGATCAGTGAATAGCGTTCTGTTGACAATAGACTATAAGGTAATCAGGTTAAGCCAACTATACAAAGACAGCACAGATAAACTCAATGTCATGAGTCATATCCTGCAGAGAATTTTAGTTCAAGATTTAGGTTCTAAACCCCATGACTTATGTTTATATTTAAAATCTGTTACTAACTCAGTGGCCTCAGTATTATAAGACCTCTTTCTCTTAAAAGAATTGTTTTTATTTAACTGTATTTATTTTAATTTGACCAGAGAGGGGAAGAGGCACAGAGAGAGAGAAAGTGAAAAAGCAAGCCGCCAGTTCCAAGACTGAATCATGGTAGGCCATGTGGGAGTCCAGCGCCCTTAAACACCATGCCACCTGCTGGCCCCAAGACTTCTTTTTTTTTTTTTTTTTTGGAGAGGTTTTTGCGATAGGGCGCGTGCGCTCGCCAGACAGACACAGAGAGACAGAAAGTGAGAAATCACCCCCCAGGGGGGATGGCCATGCCGCAATCCCTTCTCCTCCATTCTCCTCTCGGGATCTTGGGCACGCATGCACACGCGCCAGGCATGAGTTTTAAGCCACCAGGTCTGGGACACGAACCGCAGTCGACTACATGGGAGTCCAGCTACATAGCCATTACGCTAACTGCTGGTCTCCCCAAGACTTCTTTTAACGTTAACTTTCTGATTTGTAAAATGGATGTAATTCATCTCTATTTGCCTCATAGTATTGTTTTGAATATTTAACAAGATAAAAAACGGGTCAGGTACATAATAATTGTTCAATAAAACAGCTACAAGTATTAACATTATATAAATCACTTTTAAAAGAAGAGAATCTTTTAAATTTAAATTGTATTTAAGATTGGGACCAGCAGATAGTGTAATGATTACATTGCTAGACTCCCACATAGTTGACCACGGTTCTAGTCCCAGACCTAGCAGCTTAAAACTCATGCCAGGTGTGAATATGTGTGCCCAAATCCCAAGAGTAGAATGGAGGAGAAGAGATTGTGGCATGGCCATCCTCCCTGGGGGATGATTTCTAAGTTTCTGTCTCTCTGTCTTTCTGTCTTTCTGGGAAGCACACACACCCTATAGCAAAAATATCTCTCTCAAAAAAAATTGTATTTAAGGTCTTAGAATGCCCATTATCCTTAATTATTTGTTTTGCAATTGCCTGCTAATGATTATGAGAGGGCCTGGTGAGAATCATTCTAAACCAAAAATACTAATTAAAAACCTATTCAAAATATAAATCCTATTGACAGTCACATCTATTTAGATTTGGGTCCCTTTTTAGGTCACTAGTCAAAAAAAAAAAAAAAACTGACTGAATGAGCATACTTTTAACCATCGATTATTTAGAAAGTACCATGCCAATGAAACACACTCCTGACCAAAACATGTTCTGACTTCCAGGGTGACAACCAGAATGACTCCTGGATCTTTGCTCTGGCAGTCCTCCTGAGCAGCACCTTAGTGTATAACAGCATGGGAACCATCAACCAGCAGGCCATGGACCAACTGCAGTATCCTATTCATGGTCTAGAACAGCACCAAAGTTAGAGGGGAGACCAATATAGATAAACCAGATGCCTGACCAAGAATCCACATGAATGAAGTTCAAAAGAAGAGAATAAAAAGTCATTCAAGTATAGGGAAAGTGAATCAAGTACAAAAGGAGAGAATAAAAAGTCATTCAAGTATAGGGAAAAGATTTCATAATCTATTGAAGAATTGGCACATAGGCTAAGAACAAAACAAAATGAAAGTTTAGAAAGAAACAGAACTAATGTGGGATGGAGGGCCCTATTCATTTTGCCAATTTTCCTTAGCTAGCTACTCAGCTATGTGACAGAGCTGACAAATCGAATCAGAGCAAAATCCTCACCTGAGAATGATGTTGAGGACTCAGCCGACTTTGTAAGCTTCTTCCCAGACTTTGTGTGGACTCTGAGAGATTTTTCCCTGGAACTGGAAGCAAATGGACAACCCATCACACCAGACGAGTACCTAGACAATTCACTCAAGCTAAAGCAAGGTGACAGGGACTTATGGTTGGTAAATGGGGATGATATGAGAAATTATACATTTTTAGTTTTCTGTTTATGATTATCTTACATTTACAGTTTTCTATTTCATATAGTTAGCTATTCCTAGTAATTACTACGTGTTTCATATCTGAATAGGCTGATTTTAAATTATATTCTCCCTTGTTCTATAGGAAAGTTTCTTTTTCTTCTACCTTTCCCTATACTATGATTGGATGAATTGTACCTCCTAGTTTTGTATTAAAATTCTGTATTTACTTGAAGAAAATAGATTAAAATATGAACAGTGTACTAGTCCAAGTGTTGGCAAACTGTAGCCCACAGACAAATTAGTTTTATTGGAATAATGCTATGTTCGTTCATTTACATATTGCTCTTAGCTGCTCTTATGTGATAATAACAGAGCTGAGAACTTGGAGAAGACCACCTGGCCAGCAAAGAAAATATTTACTACCTGGCCTTTTACAAGAAAAGAGTGATAACTCTTATATTAGGAAAAATCTCATTTTTATTTTCCTCCAGGTACTGGTGAAAAACATAAAACTTTTAATCTGCCCCGACTCTGTATCCGGAAATTCTTCCCAAAGAAGAAATGCTTCATCTTTGATCGACCCACTCACCGAAAGAAGCTGGCCCAGCTTGAGATGCTGCATGATGATCAGCTGGACCCTGAATTTGTGCAACAAGTTGACGTCTTCTGTTCCTACATCTTCAGCTATGCCAAGGTTAAAACTCTTTCAGGAGGCATCAAGATCAATGGACCTCGTGAGTCCCCTTCCTTCATTATTAAGGCTAACGTAGCGTAGAATAATAACCACTTGGTTTCAGCTTTGAAAAATACAAATCTATCACTATGAGGGGACTTCAAAAAGTTTTTGGAAAAATAAAATATAAGTTTATTTTGGTGCAAAAACTTTTGATATCCATGAACAGTTTTTTTGTACTATGCATTTTCCAACAATTTTTCTCATATTATTGTGTCAAATTCTAAATGGTACCACCATTTCTAATAGATGTTAGATTTCTTGGTGGGAAAAATAGGAAAAGTCAAAGAAAAAGAGCTGTATTGCTTAAAGAAATTACACTACTTAACTGAACCTAAACTGTCCAATACAATAGCCATTAGACAAATGGAATACTTAAATATAAATTAATTTAAACAAAAGCAAATTAAAAATTCATAACACATGGCTATATTTCAAGGGCTCATATCTACATGTGGCTAGTTGCTGTAGTATGAGATGGCATATATAGCACATTTCCATCGTTACAGAAAGATAAAGAAAGTTCTCTTAAATGATGCTGTACTAAAATAAACCAAATGTAGAACTCCTTTTGATTGGGATAGCACTGATTGTTCCATAAATATTACATACTTACTATGGATAGGGTTTATGGTACAGACATAAATAAAGAGGTATGCTTCCTGTCTTAATGGTACATGGGATTAAAATGACTACAAGCATTCAATAAACTCAGGCCTATGCAATCTAGAACAGAGATTGTCATCCTCTGGTGTGCTTTCATATCACCCAAGGATCTTGTCAAAGAGGAGGGTCTAGTTTAGCACATCTAAGGCAGGGGCTGAGATTCTGCATTTCTAGCAAACTTCCAAATCACGCTAAGGACAGTGATGCTGTGATGCAAATAAGTAGTCATTGATATGCTCAGAATTACCCAGTATAGAGATTTTTCTCCAATCTCTCTATAATAAATATCATCATTGGTTCTCAATTCATAGGTTTTGAGAACCTGGTACTGACCTACGTTAATGCCATCGACAGTGGGGATCTGCCCTGCATGGAGAACGCAGTGCTGGCCTTAGCCCAGATAGAGAACTCGGCTGCAGTGCAGAAGGCCATTACCCACTATGACCAGCAGATGGGCCAGAGGGTGCAGCTGCCCACAGAAACCCTCCAGGAGCTGCTGGACCTGCACAGGACCAGTGAGAAAGAGGCCATTGAAATCTTCATCAAGAGTTCCTTCAAAGACGTAGATCATTTATTTCAAAGGGAATTAGCGGTAATTTCTCTCAAGGGTATATGATTAAGGACCTCAGAAGGCAAAATACTGCTAAAAAATAAAATTTTGAGAGAATCAATTCTCACTAAACTTTAAAATGGTGACAACTACGGTTGGGTTTCATAAAAAATAACCAGTTTCATTACCGTATACTTAAAGTTTAAAACATTTTTACTTGGGGCCACCAGGTGGTGTAGTGATTAAGGTGCTGGACTTCCACAGAGTCAACTGCTATTCAAGTCCCGGATCTGGTAGCTTGAAACTCCATGCCAGACGCATGTGTGTGCATATATAAAATCCCAGGAGGAGAATGGAGAAGGGATTGTAGCATGGCAAACCCCCTCAAGGGGTTATTTCTCACTGTCTCTCTGAAGAGCATACCTTAAATTTTTTTTTTCTTTTATGAATAAACTAATATTTTCCTTAATTTAATTAAATGCATGTAAGAAACAATCAGCACTTCTACTCTAATTATATGGGCACTGTTAGACTGATTTGACATTCTGGCCAAAAGCAAGGCGAATTTTAGTTTTATTATCTGGAGTAGACTTATATTGAGCCAGATTTATTCCATATGCAATTATTGGTCCAATCTGAAAAAGCAGAAGTTTACCTTGAAAAGTGTGACATAATACTAGTGTCTCTGCTCTGGATTTCATCTCCAAGAGAAAAGGACTTCAGTAGAAAGCGGGCATCAGGAGGGAAGAAGGGGCCCTGTGGAGGTGCCTATAAGTTTTTCTAGACATCAAAGACTCTGAAGGGAGGGAGTGTTTCCAGAAATTCTCAATTCAAGCTAACATATTTTTTCCTATGATTCCTTTTGCTTCCTATTTTTATATTCAAGGCCCAGCTAGAAAGAAAGCGGGATGACTTCTGTAAACAGAACATGCAAACATCATCAGATCGTTGCTTGGCTTTAATTCAGAATATTTTCAGTCCATTAGAAGAAGAAGTGAAACAGGGGGTTTATTCTAAACCAGGGGGCTATCGTCTCTTAATTCAGAAGGTACAAGACCTGAAGAAAAAATACTTCCAGGAACCCAGGAAGGGGATACAGGTAACCAAGCTATATCTGTCGATTCTGAAAAGCTACTGAAATACATCTTTGAAACACCATTTGACCAAGCATAACCACATATAATTGTATGTTACTGTCTGCATAACGCTCATGCTTTCATTCAATAACATGTACAGGCAGCCTGTGACAGCAGATGAGTCCCCGATGCTCATTAAAGAGAGTGCCCATAATTAATGGTTGAGTTATAAATTGAATTAGATTAACCACCAAGTTGTTATTATCATCCACTATCACGGCTGGATTTATTTTGCATTGCAAAGGACAAGACTCAATGAGAGTGCTAACAAAAAAATGATAATTTATTATTTAGGCTTCAACCTATTTTTTAAAAACACCTGGGTCTGGGGTTGGCAGGTGGCATGATGGTTAAGGGTGCTGGACTCCTACATGGCCAACTGTGGTTCAAGTCCTGGGCCTGGAGGCTTACTTTCTCACTTTCTCCCTCTTTCTCTTTTCCTCTCTGGTCAAATTTAAATAAATAAAGTTAAATAAAATAATTCTTTTTTAAAAAGCTGGGTCCAATAACATTTCAAATATTGTTATCATCTGTCTTTCTCTGTCCATTGCTCTCCCTATGCTCCATCTCCACAGTCCCTTTCATCCTTCTTCCAGCTTCTTCTTCGTGATCTGCTTCTTTCTCTATAACAGCTTCATTCTCCAGCAAACTCATTCGATATAGATAGACCAGAGCACCAACACCTCTAAACTTTTGGTCTTCAGTTTGAAAGGACAGAGAATCTCTTTTCCCTAGCTTCTATATCAGCTTAGTGGGGTGCTCTGATTGGTTAGCTTGGAAAGTGTACCCACCCGTGATAGGGAATCTTGGCCACCACCAGATACATCAGGGCCAAGAGGAGCAACTCCTCAGGGAAAACATGGTGGGGAGATAAACAGGAACAAATGCTACAGCCATTTCCTACTGCTAATTCATCTCCTCTGGATTCTAAGGCTGAAGAGATCCTACAGAAACACTTGAAGTCCATGGAGCCTGTGATTGATACAATTCTACAGACAGATCAGACTCTCACAGAAAAGGAAAAAGATATTGAAGGTGAGAAGCAAGTTAAAAGACTAGATGGGGCCCAGACACAATGGCACATGCTGCTAAGACACTATGTTCCACAGCCTGGGATCACATGAAAAATCCAGGTTTGATTCCCTGCCCAACCAAACACTGAGTGTGGTAGTGCACACTTACAGTCTCAGCTGGGAGGGTGAAGCAGGAGGATCACAACACAGTGAGATTCTGTCTTAACAGAGAGAGAGAGAGAGAGAAATTATGACTCCAGAAGCATGTAAAAGTTTTAATAATTTGGGTGGAGTTGAGATCCTTAAACTAGAACAAGAAGAGCAAAGATGTGTTCTATTTGCTGAAGCCGTATCTGAGTGGGTCATACACAGTCAGCAACAACAAAAAGTAAGTATATAAAGAAGAGTGGGGCAGCATACAACCACACATATTATTTTTCTTCTTCCATTTCTTCCTCAGTGGAACGTGTGAAAGCTGAATCTGCACAGGCTGCAGCAAAAAGGTTGGAAGAAATGCAAATAAAGAACCAGCAGATGCTGGAACAGAAAGAGAAGAGTTATCAAGAACACGTGAAACAATTGACTGAGAAGATGGAGAAAGATAGAGCCCAGATGTTGGAAGAGCAAGAGAGGACGCTTGCTTTTAAACTTCAGGTATTCAGTACACCATATTAAGGTTTCTGGGATGGTTTTCTCCCTATTCTCCCTGATAACAAACTGTGGAAGTCAGAATAAGAAACTCAGAAGAAGTTTTTTACCTACTAAGTTTTTACCTACAGCAGGTCACATCCATCCTTTATCAATATATCCTTCAATTAATGGTTGCTATTATCTGCTAGGCATCATAAAAATGTCTTATATGGGGACCAGCAGTGAGCGTAATGGCTATGTTGCTGGTCTCCCATGTAGTCAACCGCGGTTCGCGTCCCAGACCTGGTGGCTTAAAACTCACACCGGGCACGTGTGCGTGCGTGTCCAAGATCCCGAGAGGAGAATGGAGGAGAAGGGATTGCGGTATGGCCATCCCCCCAGGGGGTGATTTCTTGCTTTCTGTCTCTCTGTCTCTCTCTGTCTTTCTGGCAAGCACATGCACCCTATAGCAAAAAACTCTCCAAAAAAAAAAAAAAAGAAAACTAAAAAAAACCAAAGTTTTATTTGTATGGGGTAGGGGTCTTCAAAAAATTCATGAAAAAATGTATGTTATGGGACCAGCAGTTAGCATAATGGCTATGTTGCTGGACTCCCATGTAGCTGACCGTGGTTCAAGTCCCTGACCCGGTCACCTAAACTCATGCTGGGCGCATGTGCGTGTGTGCCCAAGATCCTGAGAGGAGAATGGAGGAGAAGGGATTGTGGTGTGGCCATCCCCCCTGGGGGGTGATTTCTCGCTTTCTGTGTCTCTGTCTCTCTCTTTCTGGTGAGTGTACATGCCCTATAGCAAAAACCTCTCCAAAAAAAAAAAAGTATGTTATGAAAAAATTATACAAGGATTTTGATATTTTTTTTACCAAAATAAACTCACCCTTTAAATTTCCCACTAACTTTTTGAAGTATCCTTGTATCTCTTGCTTAATACTATATGAAGCAAGAACCATACCCCTGTTGCTTAGAAGAAGAAACAGAGGTTCAGAAAAGATGAAATAACTTTCATAAGATCATACAGCTCACAGAATACCTGAGGTCTCTTTATAAGTTTGTGGAATCCACAAAATGTGTTGTTGTTGTTGTTTTTTTTTCTGTCACACCTGGTATGATTTTAACTCTACAAGAAACTTTATGAGAGGAAGTTCTCCTTAATCTTTACACTTGTGTGATAGTTTGCCACTCCTACCAGTTTTCCATGCCTTTCTCCACTCAGTGTTACGCTGGGAGTTACATGCAGAAATTCAGTATAGTTCTGACCTCCTTAACATATCTTTTGTTTCCCTAGACACTAAGTTGTGGAGGCTTAGGTCAAATTTCTTGACCTAAGATCCAAACAACTCATCAGATTATAAAAATACTTTATCTTATATATATATATATATATATATACACACACAATACTTTGTACCTATGTGGCTCTATAAAGAGTTTATAATGCATAGATAAGATTAGTAGCCAAACATATGATTAAGATTGCCTACACAAGTTATGCATAATTTATGGGGTGGAGGGTGGTCGGTAATCGGGAATCAAGACTGGTAGTTTTAGGTTTGTCAAAAGATATGAGTTAAAACTTAGCTAAAAGAAATCCAAAAGAAGTAATTATAAAGCTCAGATGACCAAGAAAAAGTATAATGAAAATTAAGCGTACAGAAAACTTCAAGAAGAAATTAAATACAAAAAAATAAAAAAAGAAGTCAATGAATGTTTCCACTAGATAGAATACAGAAATAAACTTAACACTACAATTTATTCCATCTTCATTTGTCCCTTTTTAGGAACAGGCCCGACTCCTACAAGAAGGATTCCAAAATGAGAGCAAACGACTTCATAATGAGATACAGAGTCTTCAGAGAAGGATGGACAAGCCAAAGAAGACATGTGTCATAAGTTAAAGGCCAAAAGAAAGAGCATATCTGTCATCCTTACTAGGGCATAGCAAGTGATTTTAGAGTTTAGAAGTGTTACTGTGCTTGATAATAATTAGATCTTGCATCCTAACACCAAAAATTTACAAAAGTATGCAATAAAATAATTAAAGTCATGTTAATCTTCCAAAAAAGATGCTAAATAGTGTAACAAGGATGGATTTTTACCTCTGTACTAATATAGGAGGTACAAGCTTGTACTACTCAGGAGAAGTGTATTCGTTCAGATGACCACCAACAGACAAAAGGACATTGAGAAAAGTCTTAGGTCAGAAGTCTTGGGACATATTTTGGCATTGGTTTGGCCAAGTATGCAATGGTCCTAATGTCATAGAAAATAATACTAGCTTCTTAGTGAAGACAAAGACAGCTCTCCCCTTTCTTTAGGACTGCACAGTCTATGATCATTAATATGATTTCTGGGCACTGGATAATGAACATCATATTGAATATTTTGAGTTTCATATTAACTGTTCAGTTACATTCTTGTACTGAACAGAATTAGGATAGAACCTCCTCTCTCTGCCCCCACAGTATTTCATAATTGTCCCTTCTTTGTGAACCTAGAGAACTAGGTACTGATTTTTATTCCTGACATCGCTCTAGGGAACCCATCTGGTAAGAAGCATTCAGCACTAAAGACCAATAGGAATGCCAAAAATACATTGCACATGATGAAAATTTAGACAGCAACAGGGCAACCCCCATAGAAATTCTACGGGAGCAGAGAATCTATATACTATATAACCTGTGAAAGAGAGGTTTGGAACACTTAGGAGCTCCATTATGAATGTGGGCCTGGAATTCTAGAGGCACACTGAGAAAGGAAATAGGACACTTTCCTTAGAAGAGCAGTTTCTATCAGGTTCTAAAACAGTAATGCTCTAACACAGTGCTGTTTTTCTTTTTTCTCTCGTTTTTATTTTTAAATTATTTTCTTTTTTTTTGGAGAGGTTTTTGCTATAGGGCGCGTGCGCTCGCCAGACAGAGAGAGAGAGACAGAGAGATAGAAAGCGAGAAATCACCCCTCCAGGGGGATGGTCATGCCACAATCCCTTCTCTTCCATTCTCCTCTCAGGATCTTTGGCACGCACGCACACGCGCCCGGCGTTTAAGCCACTGTGTCCGGGACTCGAACCGTGGTCGACTACGTGGGAGTCCAGCAACAACCATTATGCTAACTGCTGGTCCCTAAACTATTTTATTTTAAACAGAGAGGGAAGAGGGAGAAAGCATACCCTAATGCTGAATGGTGATGTCAAAATTCCCTCTTCTCCATTTCCCCATCTGTTTGGATTTGGACACAAATGCACAAGTGCCTGGCTTTTTTTTTTTTAAGCCACTGGGGCTAGGATTTGAACCATAGTAGGCCATGTGGAATTGAGCTTCCTTGGCCTCTAGATTATAGGTTGGCCCTATAATAACATTTTCTAACACTATTAGATAGAAGCCACTTACGTGTTGAAGGGCACAGTTATTACCAGAGTTTTAATCAAAAACACTTTTTATTATTATAACTTACATGTGGATCCCATATCTTGAATATATTTTTTTCCTATCTAATTTGTAAAATCAAAATTCATTTTCCCTTTTTATAACTTGTTCAAAGAATGTAAAGACTATCTGATGGGTTTAACTAACAAATGCTAACAGTTAAATTGTCATCAATCTAGCCAAATGTGTACATGGTTAGGTAGATAAACAGATACACAATTACCCTGAAAAGCCCTTTCTGTGGAAAATGTAGAATTTCATTTTACATTTCTAGGCATACACATACAATATGGCATTTCGAGTAGCTACACTAGGCTAAATACTGATCATAAGTCTTTGTAACAGGAACATAAGGTGGGAAAAGCCTTAGAAACTTAGAAAGCTAGATTTAATTGTCTTTTTTCTCCAAGGTCCTTCTTAATACTGCTCTAAGGTTATAAAATAAAAGAAAATGTAGTTCTGCCTACCTTGAAACTAGAAGCATTTCTAGATACTGAAGTATTGCTAGTATTTTCCACCTTGTTCTCCCGCCTGTCACTCCTCTAGCATTCATGAAGTGGAATGACTTTGGGAAGCAAACTGTTAAGAGTCTGTATATCATCACAGGCATACAATGACTGTATAGCAAGACACAAATGTAGAAGTGTTAAACAAAATTAAGTTGGTTTCTCTCTCATGTAAATATAGATAGTTAGTCTGGGTCCAGAGTGGTAGCTCCAAGATGTTAGAGCGCAGGGTCCTGCTCTCTCATTAGATTGCTCTATACCATCTTCAATCTGCAGCCTCCATCTGGTGGTCCAATAAAGCTGTAGCCATCAAGGATGCACTCATGCTGGCAGGAAAACAGCAAACTAAGGGAACAAGGAAGGCCTAGAAGAGTAAGCTCTTTTAAGACCTTTCACGAAAGCTGCCCACACAGCTTTCACACGACCAAATTCTGGCTGACTGGCCAGATAGTCACATGGCCAACCTAGCTGCAACAGAAGCTGGCTTTATACCAAGCACCATGCACTTTGTTGAGATTTGGGGGCTCTATTATTATAGATAGAAAAAAACGTATTAAGTAGTAGTGGATAACTAACAGCCCCATCCTAAAGATTCTTTCTTCTTTTTGCTTAAGGAATAATTTTATAGCACTTAACAAGGACTGAGCATCATTCTAAGTTTTCTTTAGCTTGTTATTGTCTTTGTCTTTCTGATCTATTAAATCATTTATTCCTCTCAATAGCATTGTGAGTAAAGTTCTATAGTCCACATTTCACAGATGAGGAAATTAAAAGTACACAGAAATGAAGTAACTTGCCCAAGGTTACACAGCTAGAAAATATGGGATTTGAACCGTATCAGCTATTCTATATTGCCTTCTCTCTGCTATATTTTAGATAATTTTTAGTCCTTTAGATGAGACCATGGAAAATGCCTTATTTACATTAGGGATATATTATCATTGTATTAAAAAGACAAATGAGCAGAAGAGATAGGGTAATATACCCGCTAGCTAGTAATTTTGAGGAGTCACTTACAGGGCCTTTTTCCACATTCAGAGATTTTTTAAACTGCTGTTGTCCATTCTGGAGACATTCATTGCAAGGCTGCCTCGTCATTCAATTCTGGATTCAAATGTCACCTGTCAAAAACGTCATTTCTGACTACTTTAGTTAAACTCTCAGCTATCTCTACCCATTATTGATTCTTACATAGCACTTATCATCCTCTGAAATAACATGGTATAGTGGGTTGTAGAAAAAGCCATGACTTCTTTTTCTATGCAAAAATGCATCGTGACTTTTCAAACGACCCAACATTTTACTCGTCTATTGTCTGCTTCTCCCTACCAGAATGTACGGTTTAAGACACAGATTCTCTCTGCCTCACTTTCCCCACAGTTTCAGTGTTTCTGTACTCAATTCGTGTTTGTCAAATGTGAGAAAAAGAAAACCAACCCTTGGCATGGATAACTGAACTGGCTCCCAACCTTAGCGTTGTTAGGAACTGGCCCCGGTGCTTACACAAAGCAATCTCACAGAACACCAACATCAGACAAGGTCATTCTGTGAATGAGAGGTGAAACACCAAACAAGATCCCTTAATAATCTAGCCTAAACACAGATGAAAACAAGGTTACCAAACAAACTTGAAAATTTAGCCTTGTGTTTTTCCTCCCTCTTTCTAGGTTGTCTTGGAATCACCCCTACTTTCTAACAACATCCAATACACAAAGAACCTCCAGTCTCTGAACTCTCTCCCCAAATCACCTAACACAAGTCCAAGCTTTACCTTACTCCTAACGCTAATAAAATGACCCACGGTTCCCCAGGTATGTGCTCTGCCTCAACACAAATAGCCAACTTTCTGACCATAGATGTGTTCCTGATGGTCTTTTGGCTGGAGAGCATTGACAAATGAATGCTCCCCACAATAGCTCACAACCTACAGGTAGATTCTCAATTGTTCCCAATAATTTCTCCATGCAATTCAGATCTTCTGACTCTCCTTGTTCCTAGAATATATTCTTTGAACCAAGAGTATTGCCACCCTTTCTTCTAGGCCTAAGTAACAAAACTATCACTACTCCCATTCCCTCTATCCTTTTGTCTTCTTTAAAGAGCAAAGGAAAAAATTCTATCAAACAAAATTTTTACAGAAACACCGTCTTTCCCAAAGAAGTAACCCATGGTGCCCCCTTTGTCTCCTAGTCAATTTTTCTTCTTTTATTTCTTTTTAGAGAGATTTTTGCTATAGGGCACCTGTGTTCCCTGGAGAGACAGAAAGGGAGAAATCACCCGCCAGAGCGGATGGCCACGCAGCAATCCCTTCTCCGTTCTCCTCTGGGGATCTTGGGCACACAGGCATATCTGTTCGAGTGAGTTTTACGCCACCAGGTCTCGGCCTTGAACCAGAGTCGATCACATAGGAGTCTAGTGATGTAGTTATGCCATTTCCTGGTCTCTCTTCACTTTTCAAGGCATCATTTACCTTCCTCCTTCAGTCTCATGTCCCTTTTCATTTCCACTTAGGTCAAACTAATTTCACTGTTCAGGGAAGTAAAGTTCCTCTCCACTTCTTCCCTCGCCCCGTCACAGGGGGTAAACACCTCTACAAACCCCCTTCCACACTCTCTTCAGCCATGCCTTCTCTGACCCCCTTCCGGTTATTCTAACCTGAATCCTCCCCTAGCACCACCTCAGTGGCTCCAGAGCCTTCCCATCCTCCCAAGCACTCCGGGTCCTACACCCGTCAGCCACACACATCCTGTTCCAGCCCAGGCCGAAACTGCAGTCTTCACCCAGAATCCGGTCCCCGCCCTCTATCTCCGGCCCCAAGGCCAATCCCCAGCCACATCCGGCCCCTTTACTCCCTCTGCACGCCCCGCCCCCACGGTCCCCGCCTCCAGTCCTATCCAATCCGCAATCCCCGTCCAAGCTCCGCCCCCACGTCCTAGTTTTGCCCAATCAGGCTCCCAAGGCCCGGCGGGACTCCAGCGCCGGGAAGCGAGGCTGTCGCGCATGGGAGGTAAGTGGTGCCGAGCGCGGCACTTCCGTGCGGAGTGACGTGAGAGCCGGCGTGCGGGGTCGCACGGAGCAAGGCTGCAGGGGTGCCTGGTGGGGCTGCGGAGCCGCGTGCCCGACAGGTATGGGTTTCCGTCAGCGCTCGGACTCCGTCCCCGGCTGAGGCGCGAGCCGGCAGCTGCCCGCGGAGGGCGGCCGCAGAGGGTCCTCCCTGGAATTAACAGTCTCCCCTGGAGAGGATAGGGCGCAGGGTTGGCCGGCCTGCTAGGGGGAACCCCTGGACTTCGTCATCGCCCTGCCTCTTTTGCCCCTGGTTTTGCAGTTAGTTTGTATTGACAGAAGGCAGTCTAGGAACGGTAGCACCCACACCAGTGCATTTTAAGTGTAGTATTAATTTAGAAAAGCGAAATAAAGATTAACTTGCCATTAAGTAAATCATAGCGGAATCCAACTTTTAGTTAAAATAGAGAGGCAAAACAATGGTTGCTTTTGATGTCCAAGCAACTCTAGAAGCGAGGTTTCCCTGCTGGCTGCAGAAATTATTCCTCCACATGGCCACTGGTTGGCTCCTCCCTGCAATTTGAGGGGGACATGGGACAGCTTATCCTCATACCGGGCACCCAGCTGCAGAGCAACTCTGAAGACACGTTACCACATGCACCTAACCTGACTCCTGCTAACCTGTCAGCCATATTTCTCTCTAGACAACTGTTCTGTTTTTAAGTTTGTTATAGGGCACCTGTGCTGGCCAGCCGAGGGAGAGACAGGATGAGAAATCACCCCCCAGAGAAGATGGCTGCAATCCCTTCTCTTCCATGCCCCTCTAAGGATTTGAGCACCCATGCACACAAACAGCCCGTCCTGGACCTCAACCCCTCAGTGGGCCATGTAGAATCCAGCTGTCTCAACCACCACACCATCAAAAACCTAGAACTTTTAAAAAGTATAGGAAGCACATGTCTAACAGCAACAACAATATAACTAACAGCTCCAGCAGACCACACAAAATCAAAAGGATCCAAACTGAAACTACATTATCTGACTTTGGTAGAAATCAAGAGAACCAATTTCCCAAATAGGCCAGTTTCAGTCAAGTTGACATGACAATGAAGTTCCCTGTTTTAAATCTTAATAACAGAAGGTAATCTAGAGTAACCTGACCTTAACCTGTTGCATTTTGATTGCTCAGTCTCCCCATCCTCTCTTTACAAAGGAAAGTAACTTTGAAATGACCAGTTCACTTTTTGGTCTTTATTTCTTTATTCTGCACAAAGCCAAACTTTTCTGTTCGGCCTATCAAAAAGTTTTATTTTATGAAAAAGATTTATTTTATGGAAGGAAGTGTTGCCTGATTCTAGAATCACAAATAAAGCCAATTAAGAATTAAAGTAAATTTGTTGTGTTTTGTCTTTTAACCAACATGAATCCCGTTTTCACAAAACAGCTTTTCAGTCATTTCAGGATCCCATCTCCCAACTCATGTGCTAACTCTGCCTAATCTTTTCCAGCCTTACTCTAATGTCAAGGCGTTGAGGCTTATCCTTCCCTCTGTACTTCCCCAACCAGTGCTTTGTTCACCCCCCTCTATTCCCTCTTTCTATCAGTGAACCTTATAAACATTGTAGAAGTGAACTAGCAGCATGAAAAAAAAGGCTCTCTTGGGACCAGCAGTTAGCATAATGGCTATGTTGCTGGACTCCCATGTAGCTGACCGCAGTTTGAGTCCTGGGCCTGGTGGCTTAAACTCACACCGGGTGCGTGTGCATGCGTGCCCATGATCCTGAGAGGAGAATGGAGAAAGGACTGCAGCGTGGCCATCCACTCTGGAGGGTGATTTCTCACTTTCTATCTCTCTGTCTGTCTCTGTCTTTCTGGCAAGCACATGTGCCCTATAGCAAAAACCTCTCCCAAAAAAAAGGAAAAAAAAGGTACTCTCTCCCTTGGCTAGAATCTCGTAAATAGTGTGAGCTGTGCGTTAGTAGCACCTTCTCTTCTGAAAACTGTAAATGTCAGTCGTCTTTGAACTTGTAGCTAACAACAAATGCTATAGACTTTTGTCAAATTGACTAAATCTCTGCCTACTCCCCATACACAAAGTGTTTGTAAGTTAGTCATTTGGACTTAGAGCTTTATAAACTTCTCAACCTCAAATTTTTAAGAATTTGAGTACTCTGCGGTTCTGCCCCCAGTTCACTAGCCCACAGGCCTTAGCTTGAGGGTGCCTCAAAATTTGTCAAGCATCCCTTCTTAAACTGCACTGTAAACAGATAATGATAATACAGTGACAGTTTAATTTTCTGTTGATCATGTATGTTTAAATAGGAGGTTTATGAATATTATACTGTAATTAGATCAGTTAGCTCACCCAGATTCTTCTTCACAGAACATTGTTTTTAGGGAAAACTAGGAAAATACACTGAGAATAATTGTTTAGAATTAAAAGCCATATACTTTTTTATTTTTTTCAACCTTTCTGTGACCTCCAAATGTATTAGTTATTTTGACTCATTGGTGAATATACTTGTGCAATGTTAGTTGCATTAGAAAGTGCTCCAAAATGTGTTTATTTAAAGTGCAAAAGAAAAATAGCTTGCTTCAAATACTCTGAACATGCATCTATCAGCCCGCTTAGATTATTATTTATTTATTTATTTTTGGGAGATGTTTTTGCCATAGGGCCTGTGTGCGCACCAGAAAGAGAGACAGAGAGACAGAAAGCAAGAAATCACCTCCAGGGGGATGGCCACGCCACAATCCCTTCTCTATTTAAATTTGACCAGAGAGGGAGAAAGCGAGAGAGAAAGTTAAAAAGCAAGCTGCCATGTGTGGGACTCGAACTGTGGCGGCTATGTGGGAGTCCAGCACCCTTAACCGCCACCTGCCAGCCCCAGTCCCTTCTATTAATACAATCAGATTACCTAGTGGGAGAACAAAGAGGAAGAAGGAAAAAGGGCCTGGGGCTGGTTTTGGGGGAATTTCACTGTTCACAGTGGAATGGGGGAGTGGTAGGAGGAAAAAGAGTAATAGTCAACAGCCAAGGGAACATGGTATTTCTGGGAGGATGGAGGGCTTTCCTGGCAGTATCTGATGCTGCAGAGAGCTCAAGGAAAGTGAGAGTTGCAAAATCCCCACTAGTTTAACAATATGAAGTCAACACTGTCTTGAGCAAGAGCTGGCTCAATGGAGTATAATACGAAAGTCAGGTTGGTGATCAGCAGTTGGCATAATGGCTATGTTGCTGGACTCCCATGTAGCCGACCGTGGTTCAAGCCCCAGACCCAGTGGCTTAAACTCACGCCGGGCGCATGTGTGTGCGTGCCCAAGATCCTGAGAGAAGAACGGAGGAGAAGGGATTGCAGAGTAGCCATTCCCCCCACCCTGGGGATGATTTCTCACTTTCTGCCTCTGTCTCTCTCTTTCTGGAGAGCGCATGTACTCTATAGCAAAAACCTCTCCAAAACAAACAAAAAAAAGTCAGATTGCATTAGGATGAAGAAAAAGACAGTTAATTAGTAATGTGAGCATAGGGGAAAGGTAGAGTCAGGAGTTTGATTTTTGGTTGATCTGTGTTTATTTTAAATGGAAGAAATTTGAACAAGGAAAATTAAATCTACAGGAAAAAAGGGTAATTATTACAGAAACAAGGTCTCTAGAACTGGGAGGGAATGAGGACTAAGTCATGGGAGAAGAGATTCTTTTTGTAAAAGAGACTTTTTTTCATTGTAACAGAAAAAAAGATTAGGTTGGGCTGTTTAGATTTGAGCAAGTTGAGATATTTCCCGTCTGTTTTCTGTTTTCTCTGTGATAGGAAACAAGGTTACTGGCTTGGACTGAGGAGAAAGGTAGAGTTTTTAGGCCAAAGGAATGTGAAAAAAAATAAAACAATAATTTTGGACTATGGAAGAGAGGTACACAGGGTTTCAAAAAGTTTATGGAAAATTGGGACCAACGGTTGGTATAATGGCTATGTTGCTAGGCTCCCATGTAGTCGACCACTGTTCGAGTCCCAGACCCGGTAGCTTAAACTCACACCAGGCATGTGTGCATGTGTGCCCGAGATCCCGAGAGGAGAGTGGAGGAGAAGGGACTGCAGTGTGGCCGTCCCCCCTGGGGTGTGACTCCCCCTTTCTGTCTCTCTGTCTATCTCTGTCTTTCTGGCGAGTGCACATACCCTATAGCGAAAACCTCTCCACAGGAAGAAAAAAAGTTTATGGAAAGTGGAATCAAAGTACAACTTATTTTGGCACAAAAAATGTTGAATTCATGCATAGTTTTTCATTACATACATACCCATGAGCTTTTAGAAGAGCTCTCATATTGTCTACAAAGTAGAGTAGAAATACAGGAGAGTGTTAAGGATTCAATCTAAAATTCAAGACCAGGACTTTTTGGTGAAACAAGTTCAATCCTCTTCAACTTTCTCCAGCAGTCCTCAGCTATAGTTGAGATCACCCAGGGCTAGGGTTTTACAGACATGTGAAAAGACAGGCAAGGAGGGTAGGACATTGCCACGAGCATGATTGACATGGTGGACCTGGCATCTAAACTGGGAAACAAAGGTAGAGGCAGCCTCATGGAGATGTTGGTAGTACTGAAGAGTACTGACATTTAGAATAATTAAGCAAATTGAAAGGATAAGTAGTTTATTGTTAAAGAACTGGATGTTTCTGGGACAAACAGATGGCATAATGGTTATGTAGTCAACCATGGTTCAATTCCCGGTCCTGGCAGCTTAAAACTCATGCTGGGGGGACCAGCAGTTGGCATAATGGCCATGTAGCTGGACTCCCATGTAATTGATCACAGTTTGAGTCCCGGACCCGGTGGCTTAAACTCACGCCGGGCGTGTGTTCATGTGTGCCCAAGATCCCGAGAGAAGAATGGAGGAGAAGGGATTGCAGCGTGGCCATCCCCCCAAGGGGTGATTTCTCGCTTTCTGTCTCTCTGTCTGTCTCTGTCTTTCTGGCGAGCACACGCACCCTATAGCAAAAACCTCTCCGAAAAAAAAGAAGGGAAAAAACCTCATCTTGGGAGCATGTGCATGTGTGCCCAAAATCCTGAAAGGAGATTGGAGAAGAACAGATTGCAGCATGGCCATCCCCCCAGGGGTGATTTCTCACTTTGTGTCTCTCTGTCTCTCTGTGTATCTCTAGTGATCATAGGCTCCCTATGGCAAATATCTCTTCTCCTCCCCCTCCCCCCCAAAAAAAGAGCTGAATGCTTCAATTAATCATTTTGGAATTAGGCCAGGTGGAAGTCATGGCAGGCACGATGACTTAGGAGAGATTTAGAAGGGCAACATGGAGGGCAAGAGCAGTGGACATGGAGGTGTCAGCTGAATCATCTCTGAAGCCATTTTAGGTTGCCTAGAATGATCATAGTACTTGGGTTTGCATACAAAACTGGATGTCACCTAATGACAAATCCTTATGAAAGAGAATTATCAGTAGAGCTGGAGATAAAACATCAATGAGGCAGCCGAGGAAAGCTATAGTCTGGCAATGGTAAAATGCCTAGAAAGAGGTAGGTGATACAACTGTGTTGACTAGAGTTAATAACAATGTATCATACACTTGAAAACTAAGAGGGTAGATTTTAAGTGTTCTCACCACATCAAACTAGTTAAGTATGGTGAGGACATGGAAGAAGGATGGGATGAGAGGGGCATAGAGGATCCAAACCCAACCCTGAGGAATATGGAAGTGGTATGTGCAGGAAACCATAGGTCTGTTTTAATGCAAGGAGGTAAAGAGAACACTTGGAAAAGATAAACAGGTGGAATTAGCAGGTTATGGTTCGACTGCTCCAAAGACAGTCGAAGAGTTTGGAGAATGGAAGGGAATTAAAAGCTGGGTCAGGTTTCAGGAGACGCACTGCATTATGGAAGTAGTGTACTGTAGAAAACAGGTAGGGGAGAGGGTTGTGGGATGAGGCTTTGGGATGAAAATGGGAAGATCCAGTGGCAATGCCCTCAAGAAGATGGGCCTGGTGGCCACAGAGCGTGGGACAGTCAGCCTGGATTGAAGTCTCCCAGGAGCGGCCGACCGAACTCACATGTGATCAGCCAGTGACTAAGCAGTATCTTCTGAGACTACCTTCACACCAAGGATTCATTTATTCATTTTGAAAAATGGAGAAACAGGCCCAGCAAGAATCAGGGACTCATCAAGAATAGCATCCTCTTTTAATAGCAAGACCAGAATCCAGGTATCTGGATTCATAGTTCTTTTCTCTCCCAGTTTATCTCAAGAAAGTAAAAAAGGTTTCTCTTATTTATTTTCTTGTAAGAAAGTATTTTTTTTTTTATATTTTGTTCGAATACCTAAGACATCATGTTTCTTCTTGTAAAAAAGTATTTTTTTATATATATATTTTGTTCGAATACCTAAGACATCATGCTGAGCATAATGGATATTTATTTACTGGAGAAAAAAAAAAGTGCTAAATCTAAGAACTTTATAATACTGAAAACTGTTTCATATAGTTCCTGGTTTCTTGGTAATACCTCTCCTTAAAATGATCCCAACTGTCTACACCAGGTCATGCTTTATTCCTGACTAGAATAGTTTGTGCCATAATAAACATGTCTCAAGTTAAGAAAACCTTATCTTATACTTGAAAGCCATAAATCATAAGGGGTAACTGTTTACGAAAGAAAATAGTATCTCATAAAAGGAATATTTTCATAAACAGCTCACTCACATCTTTTTAATGTGATTTGTATGTGCTTATTTAGTCATCCTATAATTGTTGTCTACTGTGAACCAGAGAATACAGCGGTGAGCCTAACACACCAGGTCCTTGCACGAGGCACGTACATTATAAATTACTGAATGACTGAGTGAGTAACCCGCCAAACAAACAAACAAAATGCTTTGGAGAGAATCAGTAATAGCCTGGTGCGATAAAGAATGGCCAAGAGACTGTGAAAAAAGAGAAATAAACCAATGTAATACAGTAGAGTTTTGATTGAGCAAATCTTAACATGATTTAAATTGTCCCCGGACTTTGGAACAACTCTGGCTAGCCTTGGGGTCAACTCGGTATTTACGTTCTAGAAAAGGAAAGTGCCGGGTACAGGAATGGGACCATGATGTACAAAAATGAAAGTGAAGGAATAAAGTAGGGAAATAATTTGGGTTGGAACATTCTGAAGTTTGTCTGCATTAACACAGTTTAAAAGGCGGGAGGCCTGTGGGTGACCAAAGCCTAGCTGCTGTGATTGGCTGTAACCTAGCAACCAGCTCAGAAAGACAGACTACTATGTATGATTTCAGCTTAGAAATCCAAGTGTGGGAGTACAGCGGCCATTTTAGGCCAAAATAGTTTATTTAACAAGACTATTATCAATTCCATGGCCAAAGAAAGCCTTTTGGAGAGCAGTCATTTAAGCTGAAATTTTGACAGGAGAGGGATTTTATGTCCCACTTTTTAAGAAAGATGGTACTATATTATTTTTCACAGCTAAAATTTTCTGTAGCCTTAATATTTTAATAACTTAGCGATTCAAAGCTAGCTTCACTGGTCCCTTTAAGTTTATAGAGCTTTTTGGTTTTTGTTCCCCCCATCCCCCACAAAAAAGTTTGATGAACTATTAGAGAGACAGGACATGCTATCTTCTGATTCTGCAGCCTCAAATGCTTAAGAGGGCAGCATTATCAGGAAAAGAAAATAGTATGAAAGGCTTTTGTTTGCGTAAATATTTTTAGAATGCCATGTTTTCTTTCCACTTCTAAATATCACTACACTAATTGACTTTTATTGCTGTGATTTTCCTGCATTTACCAATGACAGGTAATGATTTCCTTACAGGTAAAGAAGTAATTCAGATTGCATGCCTAGTAGGTAACTGGACCCTATTGAAATGCCTTGCTAGCTTTCTTTGAAATTTTTAAGGGAAATACTGTCTGAGAAAATAGCCTGAGATTCATTCAGGTATTCTTCATATTTATCAAGGACCTACTAACCCATCTTTTCAAATACCTTTCTACATAACCTGTTTTTAATCAGCCCAACTTTAATGTTACCAGGTATCCCTTTTACTAGTAACAGTTATCCAAATAATTCTGAAATTTGAGTAGTTCTTAGATTGAAATATTTTGGATTTTATAGCTATTAGAAATAGAACTTTTACTTACTGAAAAGTAAGTAGCACTCTTGGCTAAAAAAAATATTTTTTCTGAGAGATTTTTGCTATAGTGCACGTGCACTCACCAGAGAGACAGAAAGTGAGAAATCATCCCACCAGGGGTATAGCCATGCCACAGTCCCTTCTCCTCCAGTCTCCTCCCGGGATTTTGGGCATGCACACACATGTGCCTGGCATGAGTTTCAAGCCACCAGGTCCAAGATTTGAACCATGATCAATCATGTGGGAGTCTAGCATCTTAACCACTATGCCACCTGCTGGTCCTACTCTTGACTAAATTAAAGTCTTTGTTTATAAATTCAGAATATCCTTCCAGGTCTCAAGTTTAAAATAATGTAAGTATAAATTTGTATAAGATAAAAAGGAATACACTTATTAGAGTAATTCTAATAATGAGAGATAATATTAAAAAAAAGAACTTGAAAGGAAAGAACTTACCAAAAGTTTTATGTAATTTAACTTGTTCTCATTGCTAGAGGGCATGTGTATTCCCCAGAGAGAGAGCGATCACCCCCAAGTGGAGTAGATAATATAAAAAAAAAGAACTTGAAAGAAAGGAAAGAACTTACCAAAAGTTTTATGTAATTTAACTTGTTCTCATTGCTAGAGGGCATGTGTATTCCCCAGAGAGAGAGCGATCACCCCCAAGTGGAGTGTGGTCATGCCACAGTCCTCTTTTCTCCGTTTCTCCTGTCAGAATTTTGGGCACATACACACACATGCCTGGCATGTTTTTCAAGCCGTCAGGCCAACCCTTGAACCATAGCTGGCCATGAGGGATCCGGCTCCATATGTACATCACTTCACCACCACGCTACCTGGCCAGCCCTAATGTTATCAGCTGGCGGTGTACCGGCTAGCTCTACGTGTCTAGTTGTTAGGTGACTGCCATATATTTACTCCCTTTATCCATTTTTCTTTTTATCTGTAGTATGTTTTTGGCACAGAGGAGACTCTGCTCCCATGGCAGTGGAACAAACTTGCTGAAGACAATTTATTCTTCCAAAGTCCTTGGATTCTCTACTTCTGCTGTAGGTATTACTTATTGCTTACAGATAAATTCTTGCTCGTATCTGTGATGTCCAAAAATAGATATATGCAGATTTTCAGGGGCTTTAATAAATATTTGATGGGAGTGATTATCTCTTTATCTACTCTGAAGACGTCTTGTCACTGATGGCAGCTGACGCTCACTGAGCACCTGCTTGCTGTCCCTGGATCAGGCCATGTGTCGGGCTTTACGTATTCGCTGTCTCGTTTTATCTTCACAAAATCCTTCATATGAATTGTATTCCTATCTCAGAAATGAGAAAGTTCAGGCTTCACCGGGTTTAGTAGCTTGCCCAGGGTCCCATAGCTTGTAAGTGGTATAACCAAAGTTTTCACGGCTCTGGCATGCCAAAGGGTATCTGAGAGACGATATGTCATGGCTTAAAGTGCAGGTTCTGTGACTTCCAGTTTATCTGAAATATGCAGATAAAGTGTTACTGTGGAAAAGCAAACAAATCCAAGGGGAGTGACTCAGCACTGGACAGATCACTGGCCCAGTTTCTTCTACAGGTCAGTGGTGTCAGGGTGTGAAAGAATTCACAGACTGGCAGCTAGGGACTTCAAAGGAAAGGGATTTAGAGCGAGATGATTAAAGTAATCCTGAGACAGCAGCCAGGTCCTGTTTTTTTTTTTTTTTTTTTTCGTTTGTTTGTTTGTTTTACAATGCCTGGGCGGTTCAGTTGTAATCTCTGGATGAGTCAGCCACCTGCAGTAAAATCTAGCAGCAACCACCCCCTTTCCTCCTTTCCAGTGGATATTGTCCTCTGAGCCCAAGGAATTCCCTCTGGGGCATGTCCCCACCCACAGGACCAGCCAGACTAGGTCTGACCCTTTCGGCCTTTTTCCTACCCTGCCAAGGGAACTCAAGGTCACCTGAGAGATGCCTTTTCTCCAGCAGAGCTACAGTAAGAGACAAATACCCAAGGGGCGATACCCCCCCACACACAAAAAGGAAAAGAAAGTAAATGCCCAAGGCATCTGTGGAACTTCCCATCCAAAATGTCCTAGATAATTGGGGTTGGGGCTAATATGTCCTTTCAAGTGGCATGGGGAAAAAAGTGGGAGGAAGTATTTCCAAAGGACTGTTCTGGAATAAGAGAGGTGAAAGAGCCACATTCACTAAACACAAAGTGTACGAACACATTTCAGAAACTTGATCCAATCAACTGAATGTGTTGGGTCCTTGGAAGAGTCATGATGTATTTTTCTATGTTTTCCTATGCAAAAACATCTCATGACTTTTCCCATGACCCAATAAAAAAACATTTTAAGGAAAATCTGACTAGTCTAAATATGGGCTGGGTAGTAGCAGAAACCAAGGGCTAGGTGTGGTACATTGCAGTTAAATAGGAGCATGTTTGTATTTTTCAGAGATACATACCAAGTATGTAGGTGTAGAATGAATTAAAGTCTCGAATTTGCTTTAAAATTAGTCAGCAATTGAAGGAAGGAAAAAGGGAGAGACTAGCAAGTGAGGCAAAATCTAGAACATTACGGAATCCGGGTACCATGGATATGAGCATTTATATTCGGGTGAATGATATTTGTGATTTTTATAGATCAAAAATGGTTGAATAGTGGTAATTTTGTATTATTCCATCTAATCCTAATCTCAACTTTTATGTAGGTTTGCAATTCTCATGAAAACTGTCAGCCTCTTATAGTATAAATTGTAGACACGAGAAGTTGGGGTGTGTGGCCCCAACACCAGTGCCAGATTGGATCGGGACCCTGAGATGACCAGGCTCTTGTGCACGCTCGTGAGGAATTAGTGGACAAAGGAGTAGTAAAGCCGTTTATTTAGAGAGGGAAGGAAGAACAGAGCTCCCAAAGCACGGAGGGGCTGAGACTGGGGTTTATATCCTGTAGTCTAACTAGGGAGCTGGCTTTTTGATACACAGTAGTCCGAGTGATTTATTACCCCATTCTTCACGGATCAGCAGACCGCAGCACTCTGTACTTATTAGAATGTACTTAGCAAGGAGACACTGTTGCCCTTAGCCACCGTTACGGTTACGTTGAGTCCCAATGTAGCCAGCTTTTGGCTGTGAAAACTCAGCTCCAGCTGGGGCCTTTACCATGTCTGTGTGCTCAACATCCCTGTCTCCTGCCATATTCTAGAAAGGAGTCATAAATTCTTTAGAGACATGTAGAAAGGATGCATGTTGTACATTAACCAGATCTTG